GGCACATTGGACTTGTATCCAGAATGTCCTCTTAGACATCCACCAAGACCTTTCTCTCTTTTTATTTTCAATAAACACTCTCCTAAATTCTTCTGTCTGTCTATAAGTTTATTCTTCAACTTAAGGAGATAAAGAACTTGGATTTACTAAAGTTAACCACGTCCCCAGCACCAGGCATGTTACAGCCATTGGCGTGCTCCCTCTTTCTCCTCCGACCATGCTTAGGAGAAGGACTGAGTCCAGACAAGGACAGGGAGGTAGGAGCCCAGAGGCAGGGCACCCCATAAGCAGTGTGCAGTAGGCTTCACAATTATTTGCTGAGTAAATGAACAATGTTTTTTCATATCTACCTGCCCTCCTTGCCTTCTCATTCCATTCATTCACTCCTACCACAAATATTTCTTGAAGGGTGAGTCCATACACATTTCTGAATTTTATCATTAATCACTGATTAAAATGTGATTCCTGCCCTCAGGAAGTTACAGACTTACATCCTCCACTAGAGAGTCACAGTACAAAGTACCAGAGACACAGTTCTAAGACCCCAACTATTCCTGGATGTGTACTTAGACAGCTTTTTCTGATCAGTCCTTTATTTCTTCTGCTAAGATGCATGTCTCTTTGCTGGGGAAGCATAGCAGTTTACACATCTCCACCTGTGATTGAAATTCTGGAAAAAACCATTCCTTGGATCTGGGGTAGGCCAAGGTGATTATAATGTGCAGCCCTAGAAGAGCCCTTGGAATAGAGGACACAGTATGTGTGACCTGTCTTAGAGTCCCGCTATATGCAATCCAGCATAGAGGACAAATAAAGGTATTATGAATTATGAACATTCCCTTCAGAGAGCACTGTACCAGCACGGGGGTAGTCATGCACTATTTCATATAAAACCTAGACAAAAATCACAACTGACCTACAGATGTTATCAGACTATTCATCAGAATTAATGAGCATTCAGAATCTTTAGTTTACACTGGTTCCTCAGCAACTATTATTGCTTCCTCCATACATTTTCGACAGTCATTTTTACCACTATTAGAGCGATATATGCATGATACCAAAAATCTAGAAAATAGCAAAGTTGACTTTAAAAATCACATATACTCTTATAAAACTACTAATGTTCTGGTGTATTTCCATTTAGTCTTTTTTTTGTTTGTTGTTTTTTTTTTTGTTTTTCTCCAGTACCGGGAACCGAACTCATGACCTTGCGCTTGCCAGGCAGGTGCTTTGCTGCTGAGCTAAATCCCCAGCCCTCCATTTAGTCTTTAATTCAACAGCTATTTGAAATTAATATGCCCCATAAGCCAACTCTGGTAAAAATTACTAATAAACCCAGATATAAACTGCCATCTGTAATCTCTTTCAATTTGTACAAGGTTGTGCCTTTGTGACTGTAAAATGATGGGCAGATTCATCTTAAAAACATTAAATTCAACAGGGAGAAACTGGTTCCGAGGGATGTTTAATGTCTAGACATGAGGTGGTATTGCTCACTTTTCTGTTTGTCTTTCCAGCACCTCAGAAGATGGAATTCAGATCTCGGTTAACTTTTAGTTGAGCAAACTCAACATAGGTTTAAACATAGATTTGCTTGATTGTTTAACATGAAAAACATAGTGTTGGGGCTGGGGATTTAGCTCAGCGGCAAAAGCGCCTGCCTGGCAAGAGCAAGGTTGTGAGTTCGGTTCCCCGTACCGGAGAAAAACCAAAAAAAAAAAAAAGAAAAAGAAAAACATAGTGTTGGATGGGGCTGGGGATTTAGCTCAGCAGCACAGTGCCTGCCTGGCAAGCGCAAGGATGTGAGTTCGATTCCCGGTACAGAAACATCCCCCCCAAAACAAAAACAAAAACAAACATAGCATGGGCAGTATTTTCTTGACAAATATACAATTATCATTATTTATCAACGTATTTAACAAGAATTGATTTTCAATTACAATGTTCCAACATAGACATGCTATTCAATGTTATCTAAAATAGAAAGTACTGGCTTACCTGATTAAGAAATTATGTAGTCCAACGTCAAAATACCTGTTCAAAGAGACAAACACAAGCAATCAATACAACATATTGGCACCATCGTGCACTTAACAAAAAATATAAAATTTACACTCAGAGTGTGGTAAAGAAGTGGATTTCTCTATGACAGCGGTTTTCAGAGGTGCCTCCCCTGTGGCTAAAAACACAAAGGCTCAGGCCCCACCTCAGAAACCTGATTCAGAAATTCTGAGGACGAGGCCCAGCAGCTAGATGTGTTAAGCCCTCTACCTGATTCTAATGCAAAACCACAGGCACATGGGCTCTGCATCAGCCAGGCTCCAGAAAGTTACATCACCAGGGAAATGAGAGCCTTTGCACAGGGAGTTCTGAGAATTAGCAGATACAATTAACAGATACCTTGAGAGCACAGGTGCCCTAGCAAGTCTAAGGAAAAGGTCTTACAGTAGATCTCCAGGTACCTTCTACTTTTCCAGTAGAGGAGTCTTTTTATAACACTAGTTCTCTTTGATGTTCTCAGAAATAAATAAAATATGTTTATTTCTCAGAAATAAATAAAATATGTTTTAAAAGCACAAAATCACACTAGTCAAAAGGAGGGGACAGGATCACCTCTGGTCGTTGAGCTCTGTCCAGTTAGTTTTGGGACATTTCCATGGAGAGCAACCTGTCCCAAAGCTGGGTGTTCACAGGCAGGAAGGTAGAAGCACTATGGCTCCACGCACTGGAGCCTGGCCTGTGCCTAAGCCTCCTACCAGGCATTTGTAAGCTCTGGGCAAGTGCGGACCATTGAAGTCACAGTCTTCCCTATACCGACACAGTGGACTGGCTTAGTCCACATGAATGGCACTAACACGCTTATTCCCTCCTGCCCCGTGTGGTATAAGCCAACACCATGCTCTCCCTTTGAGTGTAGCTGCAAGGTGCTGCTGCTGTCCTTCAGGCAAGTCACTATTCCTAGCACACCCACGTGGCTGTCATGACCCATCCAAGTACTGGCTTCCTTCTTAGGTTAGCAATCTACCTAAAAAAGGCCAGAGTTAATCCTGTTCCTTCAGGCAATGGTCACAGGGATTAGCCTGGAGTAGGGTCCAACTGCTCAGGCCCTCCTGGCCCCAGCTTCCAGCTCCATCCTTGCTCTATCCCTGAAGCAACCCAGCATACTTGGTGCTTCCTCTATCTGACATTATAATAGGATTCCTATCAGGTCTTTTTAAATGACAAGGTTAATTTTTGTATATAACTATTTACAGATCATCGACTGAGGGTAAGTGAAAATAGAGAAACTAGAAGTCACAAAATAAAGTATACAATTTGCTATATTACTTACCCAAAATAATTACAAAATTCAAGGAAAGGGGATGAAGATACCTAAATTCCACTAACTCATAAGCCTCTGTGCAAAGCCGTTCTCTAAAGGGAGTTCTGCCTCAAGGACAGCAGACTCCACTTGCTCTCTCACTGATCCAGCTGAGATGCTGGAGTCTCCCTGCAATTGTGCTGGATGCGCAATATAGCAATGACCCCCCCTCTCCACCAAAGCCAGGGCTACTTTGTTCAGCTATAGAAGTAAACATCCGTGCCACAGGTAGCAATGTAAATCTGCCATATCTGCCCATGGGGGTAGGACTGTGTAGATTAAAAGGTTTCGGCTGCTCTGTGTCTTTCAGCACTCACTCAGCCTTTTCCACTGCATCAGCTATAGCAGGAAGAGATTTCCAGGAACACACGGACGTGGTCTACAGCTTTAGTACAGTGGCTGGAGTGGGGAAGAAGACCCTGAAAGATCAATGGGAAATCTAATAATATTGCTAGAAACTGCCGTTCCTGCCTAGAGTGTGCCAAATGCTCTGTGCTCACACATGCATGTGGTTACCACTGAGGCAGGCACTGGTATTCCCAAGTATTCATGAAGGACTTAAATGTCCAAGAGACGAGGTAACTCACGGAGAGCTCACAGCCGAAGACAACGCTGGGGTCAGCCTAAACTCTCAGGGGGATGAATGGCTCGCTCTTCCCAAGCACCCTGCTGGATTATGTACTGGCGCTACTCTTCCTGGAGATAGCTACTTGAAAACAGCGCGCCTTTTACAAATGGACCCCGCCCCGCGCCACCTGCTGCTCCCGCCTCTGCTGCTCTGAGGCTCCCACCAGCCTGGCTTGCCCTCCCTCAGACACGCGGGCTCTGCATCAGCCAGGCTCAGAAAGCTACCTAAGTTCTCTTGGGTCAGTGCCCTCACTGGGGAAATGGACAGCCTTTGGACAAGGAGTTCTGAGAATTAATAGCTATAACAGAGACGTATGGCTAAGCAGAGTAGCTGGTACCCAGGTCACACTCAAGAAATGGTCACCTTCTTCCTGCCTATTTTTAAAGCTTGCTTTAATGGAGCCAGGTGGTGGCAGCGACCTGTATAAGAGGCTGAGGCAGGAGGATTGCAACTTCAAGTCCAGCCTGAGAAACTCAGCAACTTTGTAATGCTGTTTCAAATTTTTAAAAAAAAAATTTTTTTAAGATTTAGGGATATAGCTCAGTACAATGGTCAATCCCTAGTACTGAGAAAAGTGAAGGGAAAAAAGAAAGAAAGAAAAGCTGTTTTAGTGGAAGCCTCATTCCTCATAACTCAGTGGGGAAACAAGCTATAAAAAGGAAACACAGCGCCTTAAAATGCAGCTGGGAGAAAAAGAGAGACGGACACAGACAGATATACAAAGACAGAGAGACAGACAGAGAGGGACAGAGAGACAGAGAGAGCTCATACTCCAGGGCCCCCGAGCAGGGCAGCTGGAAAGCTGCAGGGTCGGGAGGCACAGGCAAGGGCCTTGGTGCCAGTGGGACAGAGCCCAAGAAATAGGCAGGAGAGCAGGACTGCAGGAGCCACGACAAACCCATGCTGCCTTCCCATTCCCGGTGAGCATCTCAGTGCCAACGCCAATGGCCATACACACACCGCTGGGTACTCAGCTCTGCCTGTGAGAGGCTGTGCCCCCTAAATCTCAGGTTCAACTGCCCAGAAGTGCAGAGTGGGGGCACGGGCTGTGCGCTGTGCTGCTCTTCACAGGCATGTGTGCTTGTCTGGGGGCGGAGGGAGTTGGGGGCTTGGCCTGGGCAGGAGCTTCAAGGATGCCTATGACAGGCAAGCTCATTAGGGTGGATAAGAGTGTGAGTGGTTGACACAGCGAAACTGAAGTGAAATGGAAAGGATCAAAGGTGGAAATTAGCATCAGAAGATGTGACAGGAGAAGTGGAAGGGGAGGAAGTCAAAGCACCTCACAGGCATGAGTATCCTCCACCACTGCTGCACTGCTTCATCGCTGTGGTGATCATTCACATGCAGTGACTATGTTCTCAGTGCATTCTATGCCCTAGGACTGACCAGGGGCCTGTGGCACACAGGTGATCACATAAAAAGGCCCCCGACTCTACTGGAACTCACATTCTGGCTGGAAATAACAAACAAATGAGTGAATGAGGGGCATCTGTAGCGCAGAACAGAAGCAAGGTGGTGGGGCAGTGACTGGCCCCACAGTGTTCAGAAGTCATCTCTGAGGAGGGGTTGTTTTTCTGCATGGTCAGAAAGGGACAGCTACATAGACAGCAGAGAAGAATGTTGCAGATAGCAGGACAGCTCTGCAGGATGCAATTTGGGTTTTATCTGAACACTGACAGGAAGCAGTAGGTGGGTTTCAGTAGCAGAGGGGTATTTTTTAAAGTACTTTTAAATTTCATTCTTTGGGGAGAAGGGGACATAGTACGCCTTGGTCTGTAGGTGAAAAGGGTTACATCAGTGGGCATCCTAGAGAATGGAAAGTAAGAGGAAGCAGGGCAGGGGAGGTATGAAAAAGCCATTGCTCGCCCCAAGATGGGAACACTGGAAAGGACAGACAGGCATAGATCCAGCTATAATTTTATGGCAGAGTCCAAAATGTTTATCAGCAGACCCAAGCATGTGAGGAGAGCTGGGGTAAGTGAGGGGAGGAAAGAATGGCTTGTAAAGTGGTGAAGCGCCCTATACTGCTCAGTTTCAGGTCAAGCCATCCAAAGGTTTCCACCTGGTCTTTGGCTTCCCACGGAACTTCCTTAGCAGCACATGTGCAGAGTAAGGGAGAAAAGGGTGGCCTGACTGGCTTAACCTGGGAAAGGCTCACCAGCTGTGAGAGCTGCAAGTCAATGAGGCTACACCTTTTCTTTCTATAATCAGAGTGGCAAAATGTACATAGCAAAATTTACCACTATAACCATCTCTAAGTTTACATATCAGTGCCATCTAATACATTCACAATGAGCTGGGGTTTAGCTCAGAGATAGAGCATTCGCAGGGGCCTGGGTTTGAACACCAGCATGTACACACACACACACACACACACACACACACACACACACACACACACACATGCACACACACACAGTGCATTCTCATTGCTGGGCAGCCATCTCCTCCCTCCATCTTCAGAACCCTTTTGTCTCCTCAAACTAAAAGTCTGAGCCCACTAAACATAAGTCCGCCTCCCGCCCCTCCTCTTTCTTGGCAACCATTATTCTCTATAAATTTGACAATTCTTGGTACCTTCTATAAATGGAACAGTACAATATTTGTCCTTTTGTGTCTGGGTGGCTTTTGAAAGTAGGGTTCGCCTAATTCACAGTAACACCAACCATCACTTTCTTTAGACCTGCCCATAGCTTCGAGGGAGGGATGTGCTGCAAATTCATCTCTTTCCATGGAGGTGGTGGCCAATCAGCCAAAGCCCTCTTCCTTCTCCTCCTCCTCTGTAACACATGGTCTGGCTCCTGGAGACTTAGCTTTAGCACTCCATATATGGAGTATTTAAAAACTAAACATACTCAAAATCACATTCACCTTATGAAATGTAACAATCTTTCAAAGCTAACATTTGTCTTCCTTGTTTTGCTAATGAACAGAGAATTTTCCATTCTTACAGCATGTATGAAACATTTCCATTGCAAAGCACATTATGAGGCTCTGAAATACTTCCCAGTGATAATTTTGTGCAGCCACCTAAAGCATGAAGGG